CCCCAAAACCCCAAAACCCCAAAACCCCAAAACCCCAAAACCCCAAAACCCCAATTTTATTCGCAATTCTTGAAAAATAGTTTATTTCTTATAAAATTTATTCAGGTTGGTGATCGATATCCTATTCGAATCACGGTTCTTCGGTGAAGAAGGAGGACTCCTGTCCTTCCAGGATATTTTATTTGTATTTCGACTTCCACAAGGGCTGTCTAAAATTTCTTCGTAATAGTCATTCTCAAGTTCATCCTCAAAATCATCATATTCAGGATACTCATCGCCATTTTCAGATTCTGCACAATCATTCCGTTCGTTCTCTTTAGGCATTAATTTCCATCGGCCTTTTTCCTTGAAAGTTTTGAGGGATTTTAGCTGCTTCATTGGTTCAGGTATTTTGCTGGGATATTTCACACTCCCTCTATTCTGCTGGAAAAATGCATTATGGCTTAGCCTAGAAGACAAGAATTGCTCTGCTTCTTCTCGCCCCATCATGATCACGGTAGCACTGTTCCCACGACTGAGTTTTTGCCCTAGAGGAATAAGTGATGAAGTTACTGTTCAAAGTCGGCTCAGTGAAGTGGATAATCTGGCTATCAAAATGAGCTTCGTCCTTCTGTTCTTGCTCATCATAAAATTCTCCCTCCACATCTTCTTCAGCTCCTTGGTCTTGGTCCTGCATTTTCTTGACTTCTTCTTTGACTTTCTCAAGATTTTTCTCAAAATTTTCAGGAATGATCTGATCATCGAGGAATAATTTGGGAGATTCAGTAAATTTTTCAGGAATCCACATAAGATGGGAGCAATCGTTAACGATCTGGACATCATCAGTGATCACAGGGATGGCAACATCCATGTAATTGCCAAGAAGTCCTTTGACAAAGTTCTGGCATTCCCGGAGTTTGGCTTTGATATCATTTTTCTCCTTATTTAAATTCCTGGATTTCCTTCCTTTTGCTAATTTTATCCTTATTTGATTGTCATTTCAAGCGAAACAATTTCTTTATTTTTATTTCTGATCAAATCCTTCAGAACTTTATTGTTATCTTTCAGCTGGTCAATATATTCCTGCTGTAAAGCAGAAGGTTCTGGCTCCTGCTCTGGGTTTTGGCAAGGCTTAGCCTCCTCCTTGGAAGGAGGACCCTTGGAAGAACTAGCCGAGCCCTTTCTAGCAGCAGCTCCCTTCTGTAACACTTGAGAATGTAAAACTGTAATTAACTTATTTCTGGACCCTGAAAACTTCATTCTGGAGCTTGATGTTCTCCTTCACGAAGGAGTTTATTACATTTACTTGCTGGAACTGGTTGGATGGTTCAAGCATTATTTTCATGCAATCTTTATTAATTTTCAAAGTAACTTTCAAGTCATTAATCTGCTTTCTTAATTCATCATTTTCTTGTTTAAGCATAGCAACAAATTCACTAAAATTTATAATGACGAATACTTTTTAATTGCTTTTCTCAAAATTTGATGATTTCTTTGAGAGTGGTTCCACAGTAAATGCATCAATTTCGATTTGGCGGGTACTTACACGAGGAGGAGTCGAAGACACTAGTTTTCCTATAGAAAAATCTAGCCGCAAGGCTATAAAGGCTCACCTACCATCCTTAATTTCAGGAAGTTTCGTCTGACTTTCTCTTCCTCATACTCCTTTAGTTAAGTTCTGCATAAATATTAATTTTATTAATAATAAGTTTGGTGAAAATAGCTGAAAATGTTACCTCATAAAGTTCATCTAGGTTGTCAATCTATACAGTTATTAACTTGTATTGCATCATAAGCTCACCTCAGTGTCAGTTGTCTGCTTGCACCGGTCCTTATCAAAAGTTCTGGCTGCCTCCATATATTTTGAAATGTTCAATTAAATAAAATATCAATTTTCTCAAAATTTAAGGGGTTTTGGGGTTTTGGGGTTTTGGGGTTTTGGGG